ATAGACAATTCAAAGCAAATAATGTTTGTACGACGTGGAAAGAGGGGAGCTTTTCTTTCGAGAGAGAAAAAAAAAAAAGAAAAAAAAAAGAATTGAAGTGCATTTTAACTGACATCAACATGATACACACAGAAAGTTCTGATGGCATTTTCTTTATACACGTAAGGAAGGTTCGATTAAGCTTATCCGTCTACAATTCATCTAACTTGTATGTATATTTCTTTGCAAAGAAACATTAACGGAGAAAGAAAAGGGAAAGAACACATTTTTGAAGCCATCGTTAAATCCGTGCACTTGGTCTTGTTTCTCACTTCGTTCTAAAATATATATAATTCATCTGATTCGTCCCAATGATGAATGAAACGAATAAAATGATGTATATTCCTTGGCTTTGTCGTTCGCAGGCCGTATATAAAATATCGATACAAATATGTATTTGAGCCTCGTATAGAGAACCTTGTGGTCTCGTCACAATGTTCTTTCGAACCTTCCTCGTGGAGGGACACACGGTATGAACAACGATGTGGATCCATTTAGAACCTACAGCGATTTGTGCCTGACGATGATTTTTTTTTATATCGATACATCAGTCTGAAATGATTGATACCAGGCTCCGCGTTATATATTATAATCCTGGTCGATTCCTCCGTTTTATATAATTTCCTCGCTATCTTTCATTTTAATGGCAACCTCGTGTTCGTGTTGATCCACGTCGCGACAAATCACGGAGCCGTCATTTTCAATCTTACCATTAGATGAAACAACAGATCATGTACAGTAGGATACGAATTTGACATCGAGATTTTTATACCATCAAAACGACGAATCGCAGATTTTGTTGAATTATCATCTCTCTACTTGCAACTTGTCGCACGTTTGTGTGGGTGTATTTGCTCGTTTATAATATAAAGGAGAACGATTAAAGAGAGAATGCTGGACATTCAATGCAATACTTACAAGTAATCGTATAACGTGAATAGAAAAATCTTTCACGTCGAGGCCTTAAATATGTCAGCACCCTGTATGATTTCAATGAAATTGTACACGATCGTTTCTAGAGTCAATCGATGCAATAATAAAATCATTTCAGTTCCTCTATATCTTCCCTTCTTTTTCAATGGAAACTGTCTATTAACAGTGACCGTGTACTATGTGTTGGGTTATCCTAAAACGTTCACGCAGTTTTGAACGGTTTACTTTGAAAAAAAAAAAAAAAA